CATTTCTAAATGTGTCTGTTTTTGAAGACAATGCCATTTTTCTCAGGAAAGAAAATCGTTAAGTGACAAGTGAGCAACGAGCCTGTCCTTGTCAGTGTGCTTCTCAGCTGGGGAAACAGGTGTGGAAAAGGTTTAAATTAAGTGCTTCTCCGCACTGTGAGTCAAAATGTAAATGGTTCGCCTTCAGATGGTTTTGTTTTCCTCTTAGGGTTTTGCTCATTTTTGCTATCAAGTCCAGTCGTGCAGTATATAAGTGCAAAGTTCATAATGCATCGATTTCCTTGGTTGTAAAGCCTGTAATTTCATCACCATTTCCTGTACACCTCAGGATTTCCAATGGCTCCTATGATGAAGCCAGCCCTAGGCAGCCACCCCTCATTTCAACCCATTGGCGCATGTGCAGAGCCCCTCTGTGCTGAAAGCCATGTGCCATTTCATTGCCTCTGTATCATCATCCCAAACCCTGGGGAAAGGTTGTGCTGGGGCTTTGTCAGCACAGCAATTCACCGTTGTTGCTATTAGCTTTGTCCTTCCAGCCCCAGGTGGCTGTAAACCCTGCACTTTGTACAAAGGACATGCCACACCCCTCCCATCTCCTGTTTTTATACTCATTTTCAGATGTTATTAGGACAGGTTTCTTCTGAAAAAGAGCAGTGATGCACTGGCACAGCTGCCCAGCAAGTGGTGGGGTCGCCAACCCTGGAGGTGCTCCAGATCAATGGGGATGTGGCACTGAGGGATGTGGAGATGGGCATGGTGGAGAGGGTTGGGGTTGGACTTGGGGATCTTAGTGGTCTTTTCCAACCTGATTCATTCTATGATTCTGATTACATAAAGCGCTTAAATATACCAGCTCAGGGAGGAAGCCAAATCCTGCTCTGTCTTGTGTTGAAGGCAAAGGTAGAGACCAGCCCAAATCTTTCTCACCTAGGGAAAATGACTGTTCTTGTCATGGAAAATACCAAGCAGGTCATATCTATCACCTTCCTGTATTAAGAAACCAATGGCAATCTAATGTAAATCAGGCAATATTTACCAGGGTAAGTGGAGTACTTAGTGGTGTTTGATGCTCTCTATAACTTCCTGAAGGGAGCTTGTAGTGAGCTGGGGGTCGGCCTCTTCTCTCGTGTCATTAGTAATAGGACTAGAGGGAATGGTTTCAAGCTACGGCAGGGGAGATTCAGGCTGGACATGAGGAAGTATTACTTTTCAGAAAGGGTGGTCAGGCACTGCAATGGATGCCCAGGGAGGTGGTGGAGTCACCGAGCCTGGGGGTGTTCAAGGAAAGGCTGGATGTTGTGTTGAGGGACATGGTTTAGTAGGAGCTATTGGGAATAGGTGAATGGTTGGACTGGGTGATCTTTTAGGTCTTTTCCAACGTTGGTGATTCTATGATGATTCTATGCCATATTTATTGGTGCTGGGTGATTTATTTTTTCCCAGATTTGCGGTGATATTATCACACTTGGAAGAATAGGAACAATAAAGGGGAGTTGGACTGATTGACCTTTAAAAGCCCCTTCCAACTCTAAGGATTCTATGATTCTAATATTGGAAAATGCAAAATTTTCAACAATTGTGGAACTGGTGGGGAGATGAATCTAGCTTTTATTTTTAAAAGCACAACTGAAGTTTAAAGCAGAAAGGGAGGGGGTATCCTTCACTGCCCATGCTCCCTTTTAGCAGGTGCCTTGTTGTATTGATAACACTCAAGATTGGCATCAAGTTGTACCAGCGTAAGTTTAGGTTGGATATCAGGAAAATCTTCCTTACAGAAATGGTTGTTCAGCACTGGAATAGGCTCTCCAAGGAGGTGGGTGATTCACCATCCCTGATTGTGTTTAAAAATCATCTGGATGTGGTGCTCAGGGACGTGATTTAGCAGAGGGTTGTTCAAGTTAGGGTAGTAGGGTAAGGTTGCAGTTGGACTTGATGATCTTTAGGGCCTTTTCCAACCGGAGCAATTCTATGATTATCAAAAAAACAAGTTTCTGAAGTGATGAAAAGCTGGTGCTGATGCTTGGTTGTGGTCCTACAAATCCTCTGAGCCCAGGTTCGCTGTTGTTCTGCTCCTCATCATGTCTTTCACATGTAAAGCTTCCTGTGGCACACAGGGCTGAGGGCTTTGAGGACATTGCATATGAAAACAAAGCAGTAATATTTTTTTTGGTTGAATGATCCTCTGAGTTCTTTTCTATACGTGTGACTAAAAAGTGTTGTTGTGCAATCTTATGAAAACGAACCAGGAGATGGGAGGAGGCATTCTGGTCCCACTTGGGCTTTTTGGAGGGGTAAACTTTCATTCCTGTGATTGTTGAAAGCAGATAAAGCAGAACAGGTGCGGAGAACCTGGCTCCAAATTACTCGTTGTGCAATGGTTTGGCTGCGATCTGAAGGAAGGTGCTGGGAATTACAGCATAAAGGCAGTCAGAAAGCAAAGAGCAATGGATTTTATATTGTAGCCTTTCAATTCCCTTTCCACAAAGTCTTTTGTGTGCATTTAGGGAGGGGAGGAGAAGTGGCTGCTGGTCCTGCCCATGGGAGCAGAGAAGGGTATGAGGGTGACGCAGAATGCTCTGCATCTCTCCTCTGCTCAGGAAGAGATTCAAGATGCTCTAAGCCAGAGAAAGATCCACAGTGCACACAGGGGAAAGCTTGATTTCCTAACACAGCGGTGTGTTTTGCTTTTTATTAGCTATCTTGCACTGCAGCAAAACTCATCCCGGTCATAATCGTTCCCAGTGCCAAAGAAAGAAGTAAAATGCAGGAGCAAATAACTGCCTTTGTGGGTTCATGAAGACCCGGGCGTCTTTCACTTCTGAGTTCTGGCATAATAAATCCTGAAGTGCTTTTCTTCTCACAGCAGACGCAGTTAATACAGCTGTTTGCTGGTGTGTCCTTAAGAGCAAACAAATGGCAACTTCTCAGTGGGCAAGCAGCAGAAGCCTGAAAACCCTGTGATTTTCTCCTCATTTGAGAAGCTAAGAAATAAAATGATATATATCTATAGATTTTCTTCTTTTATTCTCTTTCTCTGTTTTCTTCCGGGACAAAATGCAATCAGCATTTCAGAACGTGTCTCTTAAGGTGGAAAAGACAGCAGCTCACTCACACCACCTGCCTTGACACCAGAGAGGGGCAAGTGGACAAGATGCTTTTCCTACCCAGCAGCTCTTCTGCAGAGGGAGAAGGGGCCTATGGGGATGCTCAGGTGTTCTGGGCCCTGTAAACTTGATGCTGTATAAATGCAGGCTACCTCTCCTCACATTCTGCACCCCCCAGGACAATTCTTAGCAGGACACAGTGAGCATAGCAGGTTTCCCTTCTGTTTCTTCCAGTGCAATCACAGCTGCTGACTTTTGCTTGTCTGCAGATCCAGCTGGAAGCTCAAATCTCCTTTTATTTTCTGTATGGGTTCCTAATCTGGAAATGGATCTCATTTGCTTTACTGAATTACAAGCAAATTAAGCTGAACACATTGTGTAATGCCCGGATGCGTTGCAGGGTTTTAGTGAAAGAGAAAAAAGAGTGTTTGTAATTGCTTCAAGTTTCTCCTTTCCTCAATATCAGTAACTTAGTGTTCTCAAAAATATAAAATGTCTCTATTAAGCGGAGGTTTTGCTCGGGGCCAGGAGCTGGAGCTGCATCTGTCTCACATCTTTCATCCTCTCAGCCATAAAAGAACATCTCTGCCAACATCCCGAGTTCTGTTCCCTTGCAGTTCCTCCCTTCACAGTCAGGCACACTTTGGTTATCTGCAATATTGCTCTTGATAGTATTATTAAATAGTTCTGATCGTTTTCCTGTTGGCAATGGCTTTTTCCTCTCAGATGGATTTTTTTTTTTTTCCCCTGGTTGTAAATCAGCTTTAGAGCCTCGTATGTTTAAGGAGAGTAAATACCTCAGTGCTCCAAATGAGACAAGTATTTTGCATTTTCATTTCCTGACCCATCAGGGAGAGTTTCATGCAAAATGCAAGAGAAACATCAAAATGATGAAACAGCAGTGTTTATGGTTTGATCTCTGGTTAGCACAGCTGATGTCAGACAAACTATCCAGTGCTCCTCAGACTTTGCAGAGAGTGAACTCCAAGAGGGCAGACCCTTTATAGGTCATTTCTCAATGGCCAGTTGAGCTTGCTGACAAACACTCATCACCTGAGTTTTTGTATGTTTTTTTAGTTTACTGATTTGATGAGATCTGAAAACCAAGAGATGAATCTTGCCCGAGGAGGACAGGCTGAGAAGAGAAGGCTCTGGGAAGGGCTGGGAGTAACCTGTCAGTACCTACAGGCCGTAAGGAAAGAGGGGACAGACTCTGTAGCAGGGTCTGTAGTGACTGGACAAGGGAAAATAGTTTCAAAGTAGAAGAGGGGAGATTTAGGCTGGATCTAAGGAAGAAGTTTTTTTCCAATAAGGATGGTGAGGCAGTGGCACAGGTTGCTCAAAGAGGCAGTGGGTGCCCCATCCCTGCAGACACCCAAGGTCAGGCTGGATGGACTCTGAGCACTGATGGAGCTGTGGGTGTCCCTGCTCAGTGCAGGGAGTTGGACCAGATGGCCTTTCAGGGTCCCTTTCAACTCCAACAATTCTATGCAACATCAAGTTTGATTTCCTTTCACCACACCACGTTTATTCTGATAGCAAGGAAACCTTTCCTCTTCCCAAAGGCTGTTTAACAGGACTGATTTGCAAGGTTATTTTTTAAGCTGAGAACAATTATAAACTCTGACTGTGATAATTAACAGTCACAAAGCTTATCTTTGGGGAAAGCATAGCACGCAGTCCTATTTTAGTCCTATTATAACGAGGAGGGAGAAAAATAATGTCAACCTGCACCAGCACTCAGAGCAGGAGCCTTGTGGAGTGCCTGCATAGGGCGTGAGCTGCCATGCAGCACGGGAGGTGTGTCATTTTGGCAAACAGAGAATGTTGTGACGCAGAATCAAACTGTCAGCAGCCAATGTGTGAAAGGGTGTTCCTCCCTTCTCACAGGAAGTGATAGTTTTGTAAGCCCAGGGTCAGCCTTCCGAGACCAGGTCCACCAGGATGCTGGGGAGGATTCTGGGCCGTGGTCCAGTGGGGTGGTGCAGGTGGGGGGCTCACCTACACCCCTGGGACCTCCATGCTGTTCCACAACTGCTGTGCTGTGCCAGAGGGAACAGAGCCAGGGTTGCGCAGGGTGCAGTGCTGCAGACAGCTGCTCCAGGTGGGTGGAAGTTCTTTGGTCGCTGTTTTGTGCTGCAGAATGGGGGGAGAAGGGTTTGTGCAGGGAACAGCTGGGAAATGATCCCCGTTCTGTGCTGTTGCATTGCTGTGTTGGTGCTATGGATGCTCTTGGGGATACGGAGACAATTGAGAGTTCCAAGTAGAGGGAGGAAGGTTTTTTTTCTGTGTATTAAATAGTTCTGCTGCTGTGGTGGCAAACACAAAGTGATGCCTTATGTCCGAGAATCTGTTAGCTAAAAAAGAAAGTGAAAGTTCCTCCTTGCAGCTTGCTGCCAGCTTTCTGTAGGTGGGTGGTGCAATCCCCACTCCCACAGGTACAGTGCTGCCACATCCCATCCATCCCCACCCAGAGCACTTTGGAAACCAGGGATGTGCCAGTTCAGAAGGGGACACTGCAATGCCTCAGTGCAGTGACTTCCAGGCAGTGGATTTGTTTGTTGCTCCTTCCAATGATAATGATGTTCCTAACTGTGGTTGCACATCCTTCCAGGCTGGTCTTCCCACCAAGGAGCTGCTTGGTGCCCACTGCAGATGAGGTTTCTGCACCAAATTCCTCGCCCTGGTGAGTACAGACTGTGGGGCTGCCAGTGCTGCCACTGGTATGCAGCATGGGACTTTACCCGTATCTCCTTGGGATTGGAACCTGTCCTTTTAGCAATCTGCCCATCTGCTGATCAAATTCAGACTCACTGATATTTCAGATTCACCTCTGGTCTCCCTGGCACTGTTGAAAAAAAAAAAAAAAAAGTAGGAGAAGAAATAGATTAAATTTACCTGCACTGTAAGGATGCCAAGATTTATACCTGGAATTGTTCAACCTTTTATCACCCCTGGTGTGCATGAGCAGGTGTGGAACAAAGGCAATAAATGTGATTTCACCATCTCAGTGCAGGCAGGGAGAGATGCTGTGTGCCCTCAGCAGCAGCCAGACAGTATGGGATACTCAGACCATGCATCTTTGTGTCCATCCCTTCCTGCATGGCTTGGTCACCCACAGCATGCTTCTAAACACCAGTCCCACATCACAGGGCACCATCACCCAGCATCTTGTTTGCACCCTGCCTGGGTGTGCAAGCAGTGGTTGCCTATACAGGTGCACAAGGCAAAAGCCAGCATTTGGGCTGGCTTCCCCTATTTCCAAAGGGGACTGTGGCCTCACTGTGGCCTGTCATTGCTCTTGTTTCCATCAAGAGGCGCTGGAGTCCCTTTCTCATTATGCTCACAGTGACAGCATGCTAATGGCATCGCTGCAGCACTCTTCTGGGGTGTCATGTATCATCATTAGAGTACAGCAACCTGGTACCCAGCTTGCATGAGAACGACAGCCTCCCACCAGGCTGTACTTTCACAGACCTCATCTCTCCATCAGTCCTTTCTGAAAGAGATGCTGTGGAGGAGTTACTGGTGCTGCTGGCAGTTTGCTGAGTTCCCTGTTGGAAAGCAGGAGGCAAGCAGGGTGACAGCATGCTGTGGGGCGGGTGATTGCAGCCCCACATCTCTTCCCTTCAGAATAGGGAAGACTGGGGAGATTTTTAGTTTACAACCTACCTGAAATAAAGAAAATAATTTTAAAAAATGAGTAAGTTCTAAATATAACAAAGCATCTCATCCCAGCTGCTGGTTCTTATTGACATTGGAAAGCATGTTTGGCTCTCAAAGAATAAAAAAGTGCTGTTCTAAACTTTAGGACCCTTTCCCCCTTAACTGTATTGGTGTTGGCACAGCTGCCCAGGGACTGGTGGGGTCACCATCCCTGGAGGAGTCCAAGAACCGTGGGGAGGTGGCACTGTGGGATGTGTGGGCATGGTGGGGTGGGATTGGACTGGGTGATCTTAGAAGTCGTTTCAGCCTTGTTGATTCAATGGCTTCTTTTTTTTTTTTTAATTCTTAAGCTTTGCTCACTCTTTTCTTTTGCAAAATCTCTTAAAGCATTCAAAAATGAAAGAAGGCCTACAGATTTTGACAAAAAGGTGTTGGTGTGGGCAGGACGCTTTAAAAAGGAGGAGGACATTCCCAAGTACATAACGTAAGTAGACCTTTTTTTCTTTTGATATTAATTTAATTTTGCTGAGCGGTACTGTCGGAGGTGAACATACAGATGTGGACCCCAGCCTTCTTAGTCAGAAGGCTCTCGCATGGTTGGTATTTGTGGACTGCCATGCCAATGGTGCTTACAGCTTCTGGTGTCCAAAAAGAATCCCAACTGTTGGGAGCATGAACTTCTTGTTTTGCCTCTGATGTAAATTGGGTTTGCTTATTTTTGTTGTCATCCATTTCAGACTCATCAGAAGTGTTTTTTGCAAGGAAGTGGCTCTGTAGTTCAGGAGTCACCGTGGTAAAACGTCATCCACATTGGGTTTTTACAGGTTTTGCTAGCTTTTATTAAAGGAACGTTAGTGTTATTCACAGATCTGGTGGAAGACGTCTGCAAAGAGTTGCTGGTTTCTGGTCTGTGGTTTTACCCACAGATGATCTTGCTGGTCGTTTCCAACCTTGCGATTCTACGATTCTAAATGACCCCTTTGTCAAGGTATTTTGTTACAGGGTTGTGTTTCATTTCAGAGTCCCAGTGCCCCCTGCCTTGTGGGGTTCTTAGGGGTTGGCCTTTCCCTTGCAACATAATGGAATCCACAGCTGGATATGATTTCATGAATGACTCAGGCCTTGCAGTCTCTTGCAAGCATGAGTGGTCAGATAAATGCTGTGAGTCACTTGTGGAAGGCGGTGGAGATTTCTCAGCAGTGGCTGTGAGAAGCTGCTTGGGACGATGACTCTGGATGGATGGTGGTCATCTGCTCCTGCTCAGCCTTCCACTTCATGGTGCACAGATAGGCAGCTGTTGGAAGATTTGGGGATTTGTCACCCAGCTCCTCACAATCTCATTTCCCACATGCTGCTGCAGGATAGGAACTCTGCTCTGTCCTCCGCAGGTCTGAGGTTTTGGATGCAGCAAGGAACACTGTGAGGATAAAGGTTTGCTACATCATGATTGCACTGACCTTGCTGGGTTGCTTGGCCATGGTCATCACAGGCAAAGAGGTGAGTAATGTTTTCTGGGTAACACACTTATCGGGTGGTCTATGTGGACTTTCTTTTTAAATAAGCACCCAGTTGGCAGGCTTTGAGATTAAGTCCATATTAGCAATATTAGCATGGGATCTCTCTTGCCCCATTCTCCAGGGGAGAGGTTGGCATGGGGAAGCACAATTTGCTTGTTAGAATGTTCCTTCTGGCACACTTCACCATAAACTCATGTGCTCAGTGCCTCCATATCACGGTGTTTCAGCAAGTCCAAAGGTCGTGGAGTAGCTCAGATAGTGTTGGCAGAGCCTACTTCTGCCCTGTGGCCATGGGTAATGGGTTCCTGTGGTTCTGCCCAGCATGCCACCATGGCCACATGGCTGTGATGCTTCTCTTCTCCTGTGCCACATGTATGGAAGGAGGATCTGCAGCCCAATTGGCACGTTCTTGTTGCAAGTGCACTGTCCTACCTTCTTCCTACCTGCTCATGCACCTGTAAACATCATGCGGTGTAATTTTTCTGCTACTTAGAAGCTTAGAATGGTGAGAAATTGGTAAAATAAAGAAGCACATTCATGTCTTTCATCATGAAATATCAGAGGAGAGTGGGGTGTCAAAGCAAGTGGTGCAAACGAAGAGAACTTTGGTGGCATGAAATGTATGCATGCAATGTTTTTCACCATTTCTTTCCAAAGGCTGCTAAAAAGGATCACACGCTGCTGAGAATGAATGAAGAGAAGAAGGCTAAATGGAGGGCTGAAGCAGAGAAAGATCACGAGGCAGCTGCTGTGAAGGCACAATGATCAGGAACAGGTTTGCTTTAACAGCGGGAGAGAAGTGATTTGCACACATGCCATATGTACCTGTCTTCCTTTTACTCCTTGGATCTTTCTGCCTGCAACTCTCTCAGAGTAAAGGCTGCTCCATGTGAGCTGTGAAGTTCTGGTGGAAACCCCAGCAGCTTCCTTCTGTGGCCTCTGGTCTTTGGTACTGGGTTCATCTAAAATAAAGACACCTCCTCTGAGCTGGGAAGTGTGAGGGCAATGGGTGGAAGATTGCACAGCTCAGGATCCATTCCTCGTGGTGCTGCTGCTGCTCAGTGTGGTCTTTGCAGGCAGGAAGGATGCAACCCTATGTCAGAGAGCATCCCAGGCTGTGCAATTCCTCTAGTGCACACAGGCTTGGCCAAAGGGATCTGGGGCAGAGGGAGAACAGGTCTGAAATATGTCCTCAAACCAAGAAGAGGTCTCTTCCTCTGACTCTGCTGTCATTGCTGTCCCACCCCTCTCCTTAGCCCCTCACAGGGACACATGAGCAGGTGGAGGGTATGAGCAGCCCAGGTGACTGAATCGGGCCAAAAAGCCTTTGGGTCAGAGGAGCTGCTGTGAATGTGGGGTGGCAACATGGGCTCACAGCGTGGTTTGGTGATGGTGGACAGCTGCTCTCCCAGGAGCAGGGATCCTGGTGAGGGGCACTGCCCATCCTGTTGCACTTCGCTGCTTTGCTTTTTCATCTTCTGCTTCCAGTCGTTGGCATGGAAGCTCCCTAGCACTTGCTTAGTTGTGATTTTAGTTAGGATTAATTGCTAATAGAGGGTTTGCTAAAACTGAATTCTTTTTAATCACCATAGTTCATTAACTCATAATAAAACAGCTGTCCAATTACATCTAAAACAAACACTTCTCTTCACAGCTTCATTTAAAGTGTCACCAAACTCCGAGATGATGCTTAATGGGAGAGATCCTCGAAATATTGAAAGTTCCATTTTCATAAAGTCATTAAACTTTAAGACAGACCTCAGCTTACCCCCGTGGTCCAAGTCTCCGTGCATCATTCATATCATAGAATCATTAATGTTGGAAAAGACCACTAAGTTCATCAGGTTCAACTGTGAACCCATCACCATCAGGCCTGCTAAAACAGGTAAACCCTTAAGACCCATAAGTTGAGCCCACAGAGCTGGGTATGCTGCATGGGGTACCAAGGGATGTGGAGCAACAAAACCCGCCATCTCATCCCAACCACCAAAGGAGGTGGCAAGCGCTGTAACCATCTCAGCCTTTCTGCTACACATTATCACACCAAGGCTTGGCTCTGCTGCTGCAAGGTTTGTTACCTGGACCACGTATACTTGGTTCCAGCAGTCTGGAAGATTCCATGCAGGAGTTTGGGTTTATTGTGCCAAAAATGATGGTCCACTCATCACTGGCGTGTCACTCCATGAAGAAGCTGCTGGCAAGGGTGAGCTCTTCCCCAGGGCTTGGGGTCAGTGCTCAGCAACTGTTGGGCTCTGGGGCTCCTGGATGTGTGGTCTTTGGGTGTTTGGTAGTGGAGGTTTCTTCCTTCTGCACACCTGTGAAGGATGAGGAGCTGTGTGAGGGGACGTTACATCTGTCACATCTTGGTGTTTGCAGCCCTTGTTTCCGACTCACAGACCCATGCAGTACAAATTGTAAGAAGTGATGTCTGCTCCCCGCAGTATTCCTCACATTGCTTCTCAGAAAAGTAAAAATAATGGTCTAGGACAAGTGCAGAGTGAGCAAGTCTCTGATGAGAAGACAGTTCTGCTGGCACAGGTAATCCGTGCTTGTTGGGTGGATGTGACCTGGTTTCCTTGGTTAGTGCACTAACCTGGAAGAATTTCCTCAGAGTTAATGTTCACGTGGGGATAAACTAAAACACTCAGTCCCCTGGATAAGTTCTGAATTATTAAATGGCCTTCTTGGGCCCTTGCTAAGAGGACACATGTAACATTTAAAGGAGCCCATTCTGATGCTCATAAACAAAATCACTTCCACATTCTGGACTTCCCTGACTAAAGCAGAAAAGGAGATCGCTACAACTGTGATCAAAGAACAAACACATTAACAGTGACTTGTTCTGTTCTGCACTTCCCTGTGCCTGGGAGAAAACAAATAAGCAGCCAACCCATTTCAGATATGGGCTAGTTTCAAATCCTCTTGAATAACCTTGGTCTCTGTTGTGTAGTGCATAAAGCTGCTGCACTACACGTTGTCAGTAAGAAGAAGGGAAAATCAATTCCTCCTCCCTGATCCAGTGACAATGGGCCATCTTGGTTTGATCAGATGACCCAGCTGCTTTTGGGCTCTTACAAAGAGCAGTGAACATTATGTAAGGGATAATCCTTTTCCAGTGCTGGCTACAAGATAATTCATTTTAATATAGCAGTATTCACCCTTCAAAATCAATCAGATTAATCACTGGCTTGTACTCTGCTGGTGTAGCGCAGCCTCATCTGGAGCCATTCCCTGTAGTAATGGGAGATGCCAGCAGAGGACATTGTGCTGATGCCTCTCCAGCAGTGGGACTTATCTCTGCTCACTAAAATCAGTATCTGTTTGCAGTCCTTTGATTCTCCTTTGGAAAAGCTTCTAATTAACACAGCTTCCAAATCCTCACCACCTTGGGCTAGTGGCGTTTTTTATTTCTCCTCCATCTATATTGCTTCAGAGTCACGCCTGATCCCAGTCATTTAAAAAGGAGGCAGAAGTTGTTGTCAGGAAGAAGTGATTCTTCCCCTTTTCAAAAAGATGCCCTGTATTTCCCCAGCCTGGCCATAAGGCAGGGCTGGAGCTGAGAGCACTGCTTTGCCACTAGGCTCAGGCATTGGAGGTGAGTCTTTTCAGCTCTCACCTCCTTGTTTATCCCTCTGCATCAGAAGGAAAGAAAGCTTCCACCCTTGTAGGGCTTTTGCCATTTTAATGAACTCCTACGTAGAAATGGCTAACAATGGGCTGTAGGCTGGTGCCAGAGAGCTTTGTCTCATAGTGATCGCTGGGGAATATTTTGCTTAGTAGCTGGAGTTTACCTAATTCTGCTTCCATTAAAATCAATGCTGTGATTCCTCCTGGCTGTGGATTAGAGATATTATCCACTGCTTTTGGAAATCCATCTGTTTTACAGAAAATTGCCTTCCCCAGGATAGCTGTGGGGCAGCAATGGATGCACCCGAGCTTTCTTCTGCTGCAGTGATGAGGTCTCTGATGACCTCCCAGTGCATCAGACAGAATGTGAGATGGAAAATTTGAGCTCCAGAGATCCCAGACCCTTCCTTTCTCATTTTGCCTCTCTTTTTGACTCATTTGGGAGTTTATAGTGACACTTGGTTTCCTCCCATCCATCTGCTACGAACTCTCCTCTCTGCATTAGGTCCCATGCTGTCCTGCACTTGCAGGATCACTGATTTCCCTAGATGCAAACAACATCTTGCCATTCAGATCTCATTTTAAAGCCTTTCCTGTTTAAAGTCTTCAGCATTTTTTCTCCCACCAAGCCAGAAACTGCTGCTCATTTAAAGGCAGATTGCACCCACACTCAGCTTCCAGGCTTTGGACGTTGTCTTCACTATGGAGTAGAAAACATCCCATCTCAGCTCTTTCCTGTGTGCAGCCGGTTGTCCCTCCTTTGGAGCTGGATTCCTGCTATTTTCAGAACACCCGTTGTTTCTGACTGTTGCTTGGTCGGTGTCACTGGCTTACTGGCCCATGGGGTAAGGCACACTGGGTTTGCTCCTGTATCAAGAGATTTGCTAAGGTTAGAATCCTCTTCATAAACAATCCAAACGAATGTTATTAGCACTGAATCAATAACCTAGTCTAGTACTTTCGTGAGGAGATCTAAGAGCTGTTCAGACTTTTACCAGCTACCCTGGGGAATCCCAGTGCACAGTGGTGTTGCTGCAGAGGCTGTGTTGCTCTGTGCCTGAAGCTCCAATGCCTGCAGAAGCAGCATGACTGCAAGGCTGGGGGAAAGCTTTTGTTCCTTGGATCTGTTCAAAGGAGATTCAAGGTTGAAGGCCTCCTCTTTCCAGCCTCATGCTCCCTCACTGCAGCAAATAAGCGGTGGCTGCTGCTGGCCCAAAGGAGAGCTGTGCAGCTCACACCCATAGTGACTGCAGAGAGAGTTTAAACGCAGCTCTCCTGTTTGAATTTGGCACGAAGTCATTCTAGCCTAGCAGGGAAGCAAGACCAATGCTCAATAATTTGAATTAATTAAAGGATCATTCATTAATGCGCCGAGGTAGCGTTAAAGCAATTTTCCATGGTTAAGTGGTTTGAAAGTCATTAGGGCTGTATGATTTATTGCAAAACCAATGTGACTGTCAGATGAGGAGTAGGTAAGTCCTGAAAGGCTCAGCACTCCACATGGAGCATTGCACCTCTCTGCTCTGCCCAGCCATGCTGGTCCCACACCTGGGCTCTGCACAGAGGCAGCTGCTACACAGAAACCTGGAGCTTGGATCTGATTCTTCCTCTGGAACATTGCATCTCCCCAATGAAGAGATCCAGGCCTTCTGCTGTTTGGTCGTGGGCTGTTATTTGCTGGGTGTGTGAGGGCTCAGGAGGGGAGGAGGGCAGACTGAAACAGGATTTAGCTGAGCTCACTCGTGGCTTATGCAGGCTCTGCAATGTGAGCTGTTCATAGCAACTGCCAGGGAGGCTAGACCAGAAAATCAAGGGATCTGCATGCCAGTTTGTAATATGCAGATGAGAGATGGTCAGGAGACTTTTTGTAGATGAAATAGAAACCAAAATAGCCCAATGAATTAGTCATATGCTAATTACAATCATTGGTTGGTGTTTCTGCAGGCTGTATTAATGCACTGCAAATCGCACACAGCTCTGTTAGCTGTTTTCTCGTGGTCCTAGCATCATCCTGCAACAGATTTCTAACATCAGAGCTAAAGGGCATCCTCTAGGGATGCAAAAGTGCCATTAAAGCAATGCTGCTCCAGTCTCCAGTCTCCATAACAGTTTCACACCGTACCAAGGGGCCAAAATCAGGCTTGAAAGGGTGGGAAGTTAAGCACCCAAGCATTTTCCTTGACAAACCTCAGTGTGAAGTAAAAGCACAACCATTGCCCATTGTGTTCTCCCACTCATTTTTCTCCTCCCAAGGCTGCTGTGTGGGCTGTGCAGGGGATGCTGTGAGCTGAGGACCTACTGCTGCACACGTGAGCTGGGGAGGCTGCGGGGCTGCATGCGCTGTGCTCTGACACTGCAGAAATGGGCAAAGAGCTGCCTGTGCAGCTGCAGCATTCCATGTGCCACCTCCCACAGCCTCTCCGTAGCTGTCAATATGTACTGACTGAGGAATTTTGATCTCCTTACTGCTTTTGCTGAATGCACTGGGAAGGCATTTTGAGCTCATTGCCGTTGAAGTCCAGGTGCCTGCGGACTTCCACCTGGCTGTGGAGCACACAGGTGTCCTGCTGAGATGCTGTCTGGGAAGGAAACTGCACGGGGTGAGGAGCAGAGAGCTCCTGGATGTCACCTGGTGTCCTTCAGCCCAGGCCAAGCTCTTAGCTGGCACCTGGATGCTGTGCAGCAGATGGTGTCATGCTCCAAAGCCTGGCTGTGAGAGCCCAGCTGCTATGTGCAACCCAGGGCAGCATCAGCTCTGCAGCTCACGCATGAGCTGCAGTGCCTCGACCCACCTGCCCTGGGGATGACCGGGCTGGGGACAGGATGCCCAGCTGCAGGGACCCTCCTGCTCTCATGTCCTTATTCTGCTCACCCTGACAGCTGCTGGGGTTCATACAGGCTTCCCACAGCTCATAGGCTGCGATGTTTGTAGGGTGAGACATTGGCCTTTCCTTGAGAAGCTCAGGATATACAGTGACTGCTTTATGGCTGTTCAGCCTTCTCTTCAGGAAGAACTAGGACACAGAGCTCTGCAGAGCAGCCTGAGCTCTGGTATTTTATTTTGGTTTGATTAGAAATGATAATAATAAAAAGTCCCAGCAAAAGTGTGTCTGAATATGAGCTTGAGTCACCCACCTCCA